TAGTACAGATTTTGTTGGGACAATGTGTTTAAAACATCTTCTTTTGGGGGGATTTTTGTTTGTTTGTTAATGTTTGTTGTTTTGCCATAACCATTGCAGGCCACAGTGCACACCTGTTAGCTGTGGTGCAGCAGCATGTGAGCACTACTCACCTGGGACATACTCATAACCATCCTTTCGTTTTCCCAGCAGGTAGCATGATGTTGATGTTAACAGGTGAGGAGCAGTGAGCAGCACTTAACAAAATGCAAACACAAAGGTGTATGTGTTGGGAATGACACTTTATTAAATACAAAATGTAAAGATTCTGATTTTGTCCTGGTGACTTTTCTTCTACTTTGCAGTGAAATGGCCCTATCTGGCAATACAAATTAGTAGTATACAACATAAACACGGGGCTGCTGACGCCGCTCACTGCCTTGGTGCTCTCTGCGAGCCAGCATCTACACTGTTTCCCACAGTTCATGCTATACGTCTGGGCTGTTTATACTTATGACAGAGAGAGTAGGTTTTGATAACAAACATCACTTTCTGTCTGTTTATTTGTTAATTTAAATGAACTGAAAACCAACCAAGCTCAATCCACAGCTGTTAATGAGAAGAGGTCGAGACTGAGACATTTTGTCCTGTATGCTGCAAGTGTTTGAGTGCCACATGTTGACATGATGGACTGTAGTACCTTGCTAAAATCACCCTGAGACATGGGTTGGCGTCTCTGGTTTTGGCTTTTTTGGTTTAAATCATATCTCAGCCATAGAACATTCTCTTTTATTATCTCATCTTCCACTGAGGTGTGCTTCAGGTCTATTACTACTTCAGTACACATACTTCCTCTTGGGTACAGCATTTGTAAATAAAGAATAAAAAATGATTTCCAAGGTGACACCCAGCTGTGCACATCCATAACACTTGCTGACACCAGTAGTCTCAGTGGCCTCTTAATCTAACCTGTTTCAATGGGATAAACTTGTCCAGCAGTTTCCTACTGTTACATGAGAGTATGCTTGTTATGATGAGAGCAAGAGAATGGATGGATATCATTAGTTTTACTGTTTTTTTTTTTTAATTTGGTTTAATTTGTCTGAAAAAACAGTCTGCAAGTCTTTGGAGCAATTTAAAGACTTCTTGTCTGTGTCAGCTCTGATCTTGACCTCGAAAACAGAAGATGTCAAAACTATCCAAGCTTACAGTCCGTTTAGTAGTTGTTTCAGTAAAACTGATTATAATTTGTTTTCTAATTTGCTTTCAATTCACATGTAAATTCATAACAGCAACACTTTTAAATTAATTGAGTGATTGAGCTAAAATCTAGGTGGGCTAGTAGTCAGAAATGTCGATTATGAGCTTACTGTGATAAAGATAATCAGACTGACACATTTACATGACAATACCCATATAGTATTACCTTAATCTGATCATAATATGCAGGTAGACAGATTGAATCAAATGTAGGTTACACACAGTTACACTATCTCCTTGTTTAAGGTTTGCTACATCATTGCCTCTTCCATCAGTCTCTGCCTGCCCTCAGGGTTTAAACGTCTGCTTGAGTGTTTTTTTAAATCACCTTGGCAGCTGCTTTAGCTGTAATGTTCTGCCAGCGTCTCCATGTATCACTTTGTGCTTTATTTAAAAAAACAAGTGGGAGTGGAAGTGTTGAAGGAGACAGTTACCACTTTAACAATCCTGAATGACTGTATCAAAAAACAGTTTGTCAGTTATCCCTTAAAAGTAATATATGAAGATGTGGTTTTACAGCAGCCCAGTCAGTGCTAATGGTCTGACAACTCCTTACTGTATACTGTACCCATATACAGTAAATCGGGTGCCTTATAGAAAGTCTTCAGCTCCTCTGGAATAAACCTGCTGGGCATATACACAGGGGACCACAGGTGAATGTTGGGATTTCTTGTTTTAAAGTCACTGAGCTAAGTTAAAAGTCACAAAACAGCCACACAGAGAATCAAAGTATCCACAAAGATTGCAAAGAGATGCACAATGGCCACAGGGAGATGCAGCAGGGGTTTTTTGACACTGACCGACAGGGTATGGATTTAAAAACTCTTATACATTTCACGGCTCCAAATGTATAACACATTTGCAGTGTGCAAATGACAGTGTAAAACATTTTAAAATACACAGTTCCAATCACAAACTTACTGGGGATCTGTAGAAGGGAACACAGTAGGAGGTATCCAAACTTAGCTACAGGATCACAAATTATAGTTCCATAAAGTTTAGTTTTAAGTTTAGTTTTATAAAGCTGGGAAAGACAGATTTGAAAAAGAATAGTCAAAGTCAAAGCAGCAGGTCATGACTTTTAGAAGAGTCAAAACACTGAATCCTACACTTGTCATTATGTAACCAGTGGCATCTTTTCATAATCTCCATCATTAAACCTGACTTCTAGTTCATAACACACACTTTTTGTTATACATTTCAAGGCTTCAAATGTATAACACACTTGACAAATCTCCCTCCAGTCACAGAACACATTGCACAACTGTTTTCACAGGTTTAGTACTTCCTGTTGCTAGAAAACTGAGCTTTGTGTGAAACCTGTAATTCAAGGGTAGTTTGAATCAGTTTAACAGCATTCACACTGTCTACAACTATTGTTTGGAAAGTTTGAGGTGATGAGTAACATCTCTAATAGTAGCTGGTGCTACATTGTCTATGAGAAGTGATGTGCTATGATCCAAACAAAAGAAAACATTTAATACTTGTATTTTCTCCTTGATGATCCTGTTGTAGTTAAAAAAAAGAGAAGAGGATAAACTCCTAAAACTACCGTTAGAAAAGTAAAAGTGCATAAACACCTGTGTTATGACTGTGTCCTGTCTGTCTGTGCAGGAGTCACCTGTGTAACAGTCTCCGGTCACAAATCACCTGATGGGAATCTACTGCTGACTCTGCTGACTCTGCTGGCTGGATGGGTGAAAACCTGCATGAGTTATTGTCAGCGTTTATTTATCAGTGTAGAAGATCCTAACTGCTAACAGGCAGGAGCAGGGCCATGGGTTTGACTGATGTGAACTATTATCGTCCATTTGGCCAGTTTGTTTTCTCTGCCATGTTTGCTTTATGGAATTGTGACTCTTTTCATAAGATAAAAAAAATCCTTCTAGCAAATTACAAAGATACAGCTAATGCAATTGTACAATGGCTATAGTATGTTTTACAGTTCTTTACAGAGAAAAGGGGACTGGACTGGCACCCAAATGAAATGCTTCAACTTTTCTACTCCTCTGTTTAGTTGGTACACGTTTGACCGACTGGACACAACTTAATGTTTTCAGATGTCAACATGGTGAATATTAGTTACATGGCAGTACTGCATGAAATACAAAAGTCTGTTACCGATCGAAGTGTCTATTGGTTTTTAGAGTCTGTTCATTTTAAACATTTATAACATGAAGAAACTGGGAGTATTTTCACCAACAATTCGTTTTTCAAAAACTTGCCTCCAGTAGCACATAAGCCTTTATAAGATTTGAGGTAAAATATTACTATGTAACTACAATAAGATCAGATGAATGTTAAACTGTGGGCTGTGGATTATTATGTTGAAGTGACAGCTGACTCGCCAACAACTAACAGCAAATTTTGTGTCACAAGAGTAAGAATAGATCATTCACTGGGCTATAACTGAAAGATTTTTCCACACTCAGTATGAGGAGACATGTTAACAGTGCAGCAATCACATATTTGCACAGTTCCTTGTTGATGCAGGTCTATGAGCTGAAGCCTAACGTACATTTAATCATAATTCATAGCCTATTAGTTACTGTTGTCTGGGATAGGTACAGCATTGGAGGGTTACGTTTTAACTTCCTACTCCTTCTTACTTACTTAGTAAATGTATCATTTTGTTTCTTAACTGTGGTTGACTGTGGTTAATTGTGGTTTTTGTGTTGCTTTGGGTTACAAACGTTTGTCAGTAAAAAGATGATTTGTACAGTTTTAGTGTAACAACTAACAAACGCTGACAGCTCACCTGAACCACCTGCTGTCTCATTCAGTAACTTTAATTGAATTTTCTTTAAAAACTGTTAACACACTGTTCCTAGCCCATTTCAAATATATTACTTCGCATTATTAGCCATTTTAGTGTAGTGTCAGGTTACCATAAAATAAAAACAAATAAATAACCAACCAAAGCAAAGTGTTCTGTGTAAAACATTGTGGTGTTATTATTTTTATCAGACTGACAATCTTTTTCTTTTTGATTTGATTTGATTTTGATTTGATTTATTCATTCAAGCATGTAAAACAGTTGATATGTCAACACATGTAATTTCACACATATCCAACAATAATAATCCAATATCAATTTACTTATACCTAGTACATGCTTGCACAGAGTAGGAAGAAGTTAGACTTACAGTGCCTTGCGAAAGTATTCGGCCCCCTTGAACTTTGCGACCTTTTGCCACATTTCAGGCTTCAAACATAAAGATATAAAACTGTAATTTTTTGTGAAGAATCAACAACAAGTGGGACACAATCATGAAGTGGAACGAAATTTATTGGATATTTCAAACTTTTTT